GCTTTGTTAGCACAACTGGGTAACCGAGCCACAACGAGCAACCAAACTCGCAGGACACCGGGTCGAAGGTGTCACCGACCCCACAGGCAGCAGACGGAGGCAAAACAGAGAGTCACCCAGAGACAAAAGGTGAGAGCAACCCTCAAACTCGCTGGAAGCGAGGGGGGGCTCTGGGGTCACATCCATCGGACCCGCGCGCCCCCAGGGGTTTCCCAGGGTCCCGAGCGTTTACTTTAAGAGGACTCGCGCTCAGGTAATCCCAGGCAGGGTACTGCTAACCGGCACCCAAGCTACCAAACAACTTTCTAAGAGCTGAACCCCCGGGACGTGTACACTCACGGGGACCTAGCAGGGGGTACCACCAGAAATACTCAGAACACAAGGGACACAAGGGGCAAGAACGAAGGCAGACCCCCCCACCAGGTAAATAAACAAAAGAAAAAGAAAACCCCGCAAGAGGACAGCGTACCCAAGCGGAACAGAGCCGGCCGCTATGATTGGTAAAGACAAGCTGCACAGTACCCCGCGCCCCACCAGTGCAAACACTGCCCCTTACTCTAAGGCGAACAAGGGAGACAGAACACCCGAGCACACAAAGAGCGGCCGAAAACCAAGCAGTAAACGGCCAAGCAGGGGCAGGACCCAAGGAACTTGTGGAAGGTGGCCCCAAGCCCCAAGGGCAGTACTTACAGGGCACCTAGGGAAGGGAACCCTAGGCGCATGCAGCCCGAGTACTGAAGAATCACTCCCGGCTCACGCACCACCTAGAAAACAGACACCACACTCTAGGTACAGTGCTGAAACAACCACTGGAGCCGGAGCACATAACCATTGCCTATAGCATCAGCCGAAGAACTTATGGGTGGATAGCCGGCGTGGGAGGTCTGGGGCTCCCCCTTCCCCCTCCCGGGGAGGGGGGAGCTGCGCAGACAGCGGCGCGGTGACGTATGACGTCATACTAGTTTCCTTGTTTTCTGTTGAAGAGTTCTATTCACTAGTTCGGCTTAGGTAGCAATTTTCACCAGAATAGGGGTTTGTTTTGGAATGCTTACCTTTCTGGATGCTTGACCCGGTCGATGGCAGACATAGAATGCTTCCAACCACACGGGGGTTTCTATAGGCCATTGCTCCCCTTGCCTCTCTGAGGGGGCCAGGTTCTGGCTCGTGGTCCCCGGTAGGCCCTAGAACTCCATACACATGACTGATGCCAAAGTCTGACATTAGCATATCAGCCGGTAAAGCTCCGGGGAGCCGACGGGGCTCCCCCCAGAAAAGGACATGGTTGTAGGGAAAGATTATAAGTATTAAAAGAGAAAAGAAGCCTTTTATTGTCTAAGGGAATAACTTCCAAGAGGATGGGTTTGGAGCCCAATCTTCCCACCTTTTAAAAGCCTGGCTACAGGCTGGGCTCGGGAATAGAAAAACTTGAAATGTTCTCCAGGTATGCACCAGGTAACACAGAATGCAAGGCTCAGTGCACCACAACGGAGATTGGTGGGATTACCACAACCCAATATCTAAAGCAATACTGCCCATGTATATAACATTTATACAGCACTGTATAAATTTACGCTTAGGTGACTTTTGAGCGCGTCAACTATTTTTCTATTGAGTAGGCTGGCGTGCCGCGCTCACGAGTCAAAAGAAAAAATATTTGTATAAATTCCATTTACTATCCGATCTACTTGGGGATAGTTTACAAATGTTTGCCATGAAATTTACGTTTTCTCTAATAGCCGAACAGCTTATTTAGGAGAACAGCGTGGCAGTGAATCATCGTGGTAAAACAATTGTATTATTGACGCGACGAGTATAATCGACATAGTTTTTATATATGTTGCCGGTCGAATGCATCCTTATGTGACCTTTTATACTGTACTTATGTTCTTCTAGAACATTCTATTGCAAACACATTGGTACAAAAATGAAATACGTACATCAAAAAATAATGTCAGGACAGTGAATTGAATATACACTTTTCAATGCGGGTTGCGTTGATATGCCGCCGCGGGTAACACTTTGGCCACTTCCCATACTGTTTTGGGTGGGCTGCGACATTGATTCTATATTTATATGCATATGTCCGTGTAGAGAATTTTATTGCGATTTCAGTGATACCAAAATTAACGCTGTAGCACAACTGTGAGCTTCACAACCATGAAGAGAGTGGAAACATTTTGTTGCTGTTTGGCGCTCTCGGCTAGTGATCTCAATAGTTTTTTTATTTGGTGTTGATATGCCTTATGCTGTGGCGGCATTTTATAGGTATGTTCTTATAGACAATTCTATTGCGAACACAGTGATACCAAATTTAAATACGTACGCCTACAATTAGTGTCACGACAGTCAAAAGAGTAAACACTTTTCGGTATTACCGCTTAGGCGCTCGAAACGCCGAAAGCACAAGGGGAAGTTTTTTTTTTCAGAATGCCGCCAGCACAAAAGTGTTAAACAAAATGGGATGAATTTGGAAAGTTGGATATATTCTGTGTGTGTGTGTTGTATTTATTTATATATTTTTATACATTATTATTACACACACACACACACACACACACAATACATTGAATATTGTGAAATGGCTACTGGAATTCAACACGAGCAAATGTAAAGTTATGGAAATGGGACTAGGAGATAGGAGACCAAAGGGACAGTACACAATGAAGGGGAACAGCCTACCAGTGACGACACGCGAAAGAGACCTGGGTGTGGACATAACACCTAATCTATCTCCTGAGGCACATATAAATAGGATAACGACAGCAGCGTACTCTACACTGGAAAAAGTTAGAACATCATTCAGAAACCTAAGTAAGGAGGCATTTAGGGCGCTTTACACTGCCTACGTGAGGCCAGTCTTGGAATATGCCGCCTCATCATGGAGTCCCCATCTGAAGAAGCATATAATGAAACTGGAAAAGGTTCAGAGGTTTGCAACGAGACTCGTCCCAGAGCTACGAGGGATGGGGTATGAAGAGCGCCTGAGGGAACTGTGCCTTACGACACTAGAAAGAAGAAGGGAGAGGGGGGACATGATAGGAACGTATAAAATACTCAGAGGGATTGACAGAGTGGACATAGACGAAATGTTCACACAGAATAGTAACAGAATGAGGGGACATGGGTGGAAGCTTGAAACTCAGATGAGTCACAGAGATGTTAGGATGTATTCTTTTAGCGTGAGAGTAGTGGGAAAATGGAATGCACTTCAGGAACAGGTTGTGGAAGCAAATACTATTCATAATTTTAAAACCAGGTATGATAGGGAAATGGGACAGGAGTCATTGCTGTAAACAACCGATGCTCGAAAGGCGGGATCCAAGAGTCAATGCTCGATCCTGCAGACACAACTAGGTGAGCACGTACACGCACGCACACACACGCGTGCACACACATGCGCACGCGCACGGACACACACACACACACACAGACAGGGAAGATTTTCTGAGACCTGGAACTTCAAGAACAAGAGGTCATAGACTTAAACTAGCTAAACACAGATGCCGAAGAAATGTAAGAAAATTCACCTTCGCAAATAGAGTGGTAGACGGTTGGAACAAGTTAAGTGAGAAGGTGGTGGAGGCCAAGACCGTCAGTAGTTTCAAAGTGTTATATGACAAAGAGTGCTGGGAAGACAGGACACCACGAACGTATCTCTCATCCTGTAACTACACTTAGGTAATTACACGCACGCACGGACACACACACACGCGCACGGACACACACACACGCGCACGCACACACGCGCACACACACACACACACACTGTACATAACATCTCCCGTCCCTTGAAATCAGTTTGACTCACTGCAGACTATTATTGGTATGCAATAAAACTAGGACTCTCATTAGCTTATTTGTCATACGACATCTAATTTGGTTCACGCTGTCTACAATACATCAATACATATTAACTATGCCATACAATTTGAAAAAATTTACTCATGACCCCATGGCAAAATCTGAAATAAAGTACGGTGCATCCTCGATCTATCGAACCCCGCTCTATCGCATTCCAGGAAAATCCGAACAAATTAAATTCGCTACTAAATGTTCAGTGGAACATACAAATGTACGATTAAGCGAGGATTGTTTGTCCAAGCGGTCACCGAGACCGAGCGTCGGGAGGTTGCTGTCATCAACTATGATTCACCAAAGTGTAAACAGTTATACAGTGTTTCATTAGGCTTACCCATTGTTTCTAGGGAGAAGTGCATGAAGGATGATAAAATGGCGTCACGGGTCATTGGCGAGTTGTTGTCAGAGAGGCCAAGTGGTGTCAGTAGTTAGGGTTTATTGTCAGAGGGCAGGTGGTATCAGTGGTGGAAGTGGTCAGGGGGATGCAGGGAGTGATAGTGGTATCAGGGGAGGCAGGTGGTGTCAATGGTGGAAGTGGTCACCATCAGACTTCTGACACCATCCCCCACTACTGACAATAATTCTAACACCATCCCCATCATGTATTAATGTGGTTGTAATTTTTTGGGGGAAGAAGGGTTGCTGGGATGGATGGATGGTTCGCATTGGAACGAATCGACTTTGCCCCATACAGTTCGTTCAACGTGAGGACACACTGTACTTAATTTACTTCATGCACAAACAAAAATCCTTTATGCTATAATCTAATAAAATAATTGTTTAAATTCAATATGCAAGTTATTATTCATGATAGGTGTTTATCAAGGTCTAGAATTGCAATAATTACAAATATTTTGGACATAAGAGGAATAATATTGAGGGTCCCGGTAGTACATTCTGGTTCATTCTCAATGCACAATCGAGAGGTCCAATTTACAATCAATTCCAAATTTTACTACAATGTACCTATTAATAATTATCTGTTAGATTAAGGACCTGCCCGAAACACTATGCGTATTAGTGACTTTGCAAGAATGTAAAAATGCCAATGTTATATACAGTACTCACAAACCCAAGGTACCTTCTTGTATAAATAAATAAAAACTAATGAAGGCAACCAAAAACAGAAGAGAAGAACTTACTGTATTTGTGCTGCTGGACCAAAGAATGCATGACTAGCAACAACTGGGTCTGGCTGAATATTACATTTATCAAGCAGAGGCATCAATACACCAGGGAACATGATAAGAGCCTTCTGTATCATTGTATCTGCACGCTTCCGCATCTCCTCTACACTCCCCAATTCCTCAGCCTGCAAAGCAACAATGGTTTGCCCAATACAGTACTAACATTTCTTACAAATAATGCTGAATATGCTTACATGTGGTTATAACAACAACTGGAAATTTTGTAAAGTACTTGGGTAACAACTGTCATTCTGAAAATGTTCTCCTACACTCCTTTGTCAATTCCTTTCCACACATTCACTTCCGAGTATCATTGAAAACACTGTGCCAAGGCTCAGAAAACAATACATCAAGCAAACTGGATTTTCTACAAATTAGACATTTTTGATATGCACGTTGGATATTTTAATGGATACTCGTTGGATTTAATGGATACTGAAAATGTGCCAAGCTAGAGCCCCACTTATGTAAATTAAAAATTATTGAATCACTCAAACTACTACTACTACAAATTTATCAACATAGTATTTTAGATCAGATTAGAGCGGTTTAATAGCCAACCGTTAATAAGTAAAACAAACACAGCAGCATTTACTGCTTCACACAACCAGATGAACACTGTTCTCCCAAAGTTGTCAATTAAAAATGTTAAGCATTAAAGAACTTCACTATTACTGAAACCAACTTTATGTGTCCTTTTTGGTGTCACTTATGTGCTGGGTAAGCTCAACTCTTATTAACCTACCTCTCATTGTACACTATCATTCATTAATTCAATCTAACTAAATCATTTGACACAATTTCCTGTCTTACTATATACAGACTTTTGCACTCTGCATATTTCCATGACATTTCCATTCCTTATTCTATATTCATACCACCACAAATGTTAGACCTTTTTCAATTTCTACTGCTAAAGTTTTGTACATACATATACATTGATGAATTCTCAACTAATAAATTCGTATCAAGATATATTCCAAGATTACCAATGCTGCCGCCTTAGCTGCCTCTCGCTTGTCCCGTCCTGATGGTTGATCCCCACCAACACTAAGGTGGAACAGTGCAAGGGGTACCGAGTAAGAAAAACTAGGTAGCTGAAAAGAAATAAAAAATCATCACTGCAAAACATAACTCGCATGAACGTGATGTATCGATGAGAAAATCATCAGAAGCCACGAGGAGGATTGGAACCTATGCTCTGGGTCTAAGGTGTGTGCTTTGGAGTAGCCAGAGTATAGGTTCAGATCCTCCTCATGGCTCCTACTGATGCTCTCATCATCATCACTATTTCCCCACTCATAAAATGGGGAGCTATTCGTAAGGTCAACCCCTTCCTACCAACAAGGGAAGGCTGGTAAAGTGTTACACATTAAGGATATCTAGAATAATACCCAACCTTCTATACTCTGTAGCATTATTTTTAATTAACTTTCTCTTTTACAAGCAGCCAGTCTTATGGCTCTCTATTATAATCACTCAACCCATTACAGATTACAAATCTTATTGAAAAACTTCCTGCAAGCGGGGAGAAAGTTTTATAGTACATTTCTTTATACTGTTCTTTGTACTGTCTTTATACTTTACTAAAACGTAAGACTGGGTTGAGCATGAAGTACTGTGGGAGGTTTTAATGACCTAAAGGGTAGTAATTATAACAGCAGTAAAATTGTGTATTATGATGAACAAAGCATATGTCAGAGTAGGGGCAAAACAGGAGGATTTTAATGCTGGTAGACACAAGAGAAGGCTGTGTAATGTGATCCTGGAGCTTACATATGTATATACTGTACTAGCATATGGATGAGATAGTCAGGTAGGGAGAGTCGAGACCACCTGGAGCAGGAATGGACAGCGACGGTGGCAGTGGTGATAACGGGAATAATATTGTTGTAATTAACAGATAGTATGGAGATGATGTGTTCTTTGGTGAAGGCAAGGAGGAATTGCCCCACTTAAGGGGCACAATTACCTCTTGTAATTGTCTTGTTACAGCCAGGTTACGATTTTGATAATGTGTAAAAGAGAAAGTTGAAGAACAATTTAGTTAAAAGATTATGGCATTTGAGAGAAGGGGAATGGGATGGCATGAACTTTGTTGATTCTTATAGACTGGCAAGCCAGAATGCTTTGAAATGTAGGGTAAAAATGGGGAAAGACATACTGGAAATACAGTATTAGAACTTTTAAACAATTTGGGCCATTGTTAGATGAAAATGACTGAACAGAAGGTGAAATAAATATTGTGACAAGAGTAGGAGTTGAATAGTATAATGGAGGGAGGAATGCCCAGGAGTTAGGAATGAACATATAGTATACAGTATTATACAATAGTGTTTATTCAAAAGAATGTGTGTACAAAAAAATAGGAGTAATGTACAAATTGTAGGGACAGGAATTACACAATTTATGTAGCCACTATTATACAAAGTGTTTCAGGCAAAACACACACTAAATAGACAAAAAACAGTATTACTTTCATCTCTGACACATGAGAATAAAACTTGGGTGTGGAAAAGGGCAGTTTGCTCGAGAACATGCAGCAGCAATGAGACTGAGAACATCTGCTGGTATATAAGCGATGGGGAAAGTAAAGAAGAAGTATTTTAAAAGATGTGACATGAATGAAAGTAGTAGAGAAATGAAAAGTGAATTGGTAGAGTCAGTGGAGTGCAAGAGACTCACGTGGTATGGAGATGTTTGAAGGATGCCCGAGAATTGTTAAACAAATAGGGTGTACAGAAGAACATAAGAATGAAGATAACTGCAGAAGGCCCATTGGCCCATACGAGGCACCACCTATTTATATCCACCCAAATGGTGTAAAATGGCAAAACAAAGAAGTATCTGGAAGAGGCAGACAACCAGCATCTTGCAAAGGTACAGTGGAATAACATGACAAAGAAAGTGGAGGAAGAGGTAAGAGAGCATGAAAGGCTGTTTATGTGGTATTAGAGCCCCCAGACGAACCTTCTGTCACAGCCACCCCTTAATGGCAAGCTCATGGAAGGAAGCAAGGGCTATATTGATGTTTACCTACTTGATACCCACTACCTACCCACTGGATGGGGTTCTGGGAGTTCTTCTACTGCCCGGCCCAAGGCCAGGCTTCACTTGTGAGAGCTTGTTTCCTTACTTTCAATTTCTACTGACCCACTACCATTACTAAGCATCACTTGTAGACTTCACATTAATTATTGGTAGCTTTTAAATCAATGGATGCCCTGTTAACTTTTCTACAAGGTTACTTACTCTTTCAGGAAAAATTAAACCTGTTGATATTATTGTAGGAGCTTGTTAAACATAACCACTTTACTAAGAGTTACTCTATAATCTGGTTTAGGAAATCTTTCCAGGCTTTCAGATGATGAGCAGAGCCCCAAGATATGCTCTTTGAGAGCTTACAAGCCTTTAATTACACTCTTAACCAAACATGCATTAATGGAATAAACACAGTATTGGTGCATACAAAGCTTCAACATAAAGAAAATTATACATAATCTTTACAACTACATCAAAAACTCCTACATACCATTGAGAGATTTTTAGAGGGTTCATACATATCATAGAGTGCAACCAGCCATTCGTATTCCTGAGCACGGAGGGCATAAAAATCTATCATGAGAGAGACAGCCATAGGATCATCGTCAGGAGAGAGGCTCAGCAGCAGCTTACACAGCTCGAGGGCAGTACGGTAACACCCTTTTTGCCCCACGTTGAGTATGTGACGGAAGAGAGCAATAAACAAGCTCCTGCAGAAAAGAGAAGTGTTAGAAGAAAGTCAGTGCACAAGGACTCAAACACAGATTCAACATACTTGAGAACTAAACCACACGCCAGAAGATGAGGCGACAACAACATTTCGGTCCGTCCTGGACCATTATCAAGTAGATTGTCAATAATTGACAATCGATTTGATCTGGTCCAGGATGGACCGAAACGTTGCCTCTTCATCTTCTGGTGTGGTTTAGTTCTTATATCTTCAAGCCACATTATTGTGACTCATCGTCTGCATTCAACATACTTATTTAAATTATATTACAGGTACTGTACTAATAAACCAGCATTGAATGTAATGAAATCCCATTTTCTGGGTAGAGCCCTGGAGGCTCCCTGGAGCTATTGGACTGATATTAGCTAATATTACTACAGGGCTTCAGTCATATGGAGTTGTCATGCCTACCGGGAACCACTAGCCAGAACATGGTCTCCTTAGAGAGGGGAAGGGAACAATGGCCTATGAAACTCCTTTGTATGAAAGTTTTCATGTCTGCCATCGACCAGGATTAGACACCCAGAAAGGTTGGCGCCCCAAAACAGACCCCAGCTAGTAGAAAAATTGCAACCAGAGACTGAACAAAGGCTAGAAACTTCCCCTAAAATAAACAAGAAAACAAGCAACACATCACACCATACGCCACTCGTTCGCACTGACCCTCTTCCCTGAAGGGGGGTTGAGGGAGGGTCTCGGCCCACAGAGCCAGCCGCTGGATCATTAGTTCAGAGACACTAAACAGAACAAAAAGCACCGACCGGAGGGAGGGAGAGAGGGTGCCAGGAAGCCTCCGGGGCTCTACCCAGAAAATTGTGTTTAATTGCATTCAAGCCTGATTTTCTGTGGGTGAGCTAGCTACCGAAAGAGCAGAAAATTAGGGACTTAAACAGGAGGCGGCAGCACCACACAACTCATGACGAGGACAAGACAACTGGCTGCAACCGCTGACCCAAGGCACATTACCGCTGAGGGCCCGGCACATTAATGAGATAACGGGCAGTTCAGGGGCCAGATTCACGAAGCAGTTACGCAAACACTTACGAACCTGTACAGCTTTTCTTAATCTTTGGCGGCTTTGGTTACATTTATTAAATACAATGGGGCCTCCACTTACGATGCTAATCCGTTCCCAAAGACGGATCGTAAGTCGAAATATCGTAAGTCGAAGTGATTTTTCCCATAAGAAATAAAGGGAATTTAATTAATCTGTTCCCAACCCTCCAAAATATTAACATACAAATACATTTTATACTGAATACAATGTTTTTTTTCTAATACAATACAGTACCAAAGTTTTTCTTACCTTTATGGAGGGCTCTTGATGGCATATGGAAGATGGTGATGAGGGGGGAGGAGGAGAGTTGTTACTGTTTGGAAGGGGAGTCCTCTTCCATTATCACATCAGGCAATGATGTTTTCTCTGGGGTACTCTCTCTCTCTCCTACGTTTTGCCTGAATACCACTAGGACCTGGTTGTGGTTCAGTACTTGTTTGTCTCACTTCAAATATGTCAAGAGACATTTGTTTTTCCCTTTGTTTTAACATTTGTCTGTAATGATGCATCACAGTGTCATTGAATAGGTTAAGGCAACGACCTACTGCAGCTTGATTTGGGCGAGTCGTTTCAGCAAAGGTTTGCAATTCTTCCCATGCTGCACACATTTTCTTAATTGTTGAGGAAGAGACATTCTGTACTCTTGTTTCTGCTCTATGGTCATCCTTACTTGTGTTTTCAAATGTTGAGTTTTACCACCGACTCTCCTGGGACTCATGGCGTGATATATAATAATTACTTTAATGTTCAAAATGCAAAAAAACACCACAAACGTGGAATTTCTTATAGGCACGATCGTCACCAAGCGGGCAGCTGTAGTAAACTGAAGCAGGTCGGCCGCGTGACTGGGAACCACGCGCTCGGTTGACCCGAAAGTGTACCAACAAATATCTGAAGTCGATGACACCATCGGATGTCGAGTCGCATTTTTCGATGAAATTTACATCGTATCTCAAAATTATCGTAAGTAGGGGCAATCGTATGTCGAGGTGCCACTGTAGTTGATGGGCTCCGAAGCACCAGAAGGCTGTTTATAACAATAACAACAGTTGATTGGCAAGTTGTCATGCTTGTAAACTGTTTAATAAATGTAACCAAAGCCGTCAAAGATTAAGGAAAGATGTACACGTTCGTAAGTACTTGCGTAACTGCTTCGTGAATCTGGCCCCAGGACCCTGTTCGACCCCCAAAACCCTTGCGCCTGAATGTCAGCCCAAAACACTACTAAATACAGCAGCCAAAGCTGCGAACTTCCGAACATCGTGGGTGTGAGGGTAGACTACAGGCTGGCTAGACTTAATAACCAAGCAGACGACCTGAGAGACCCTAGCCCTGGAACAGGGAACGAGGGATACCGTGTCAACCAGCAATGTGTCCCCGGACACAGAAGCTGAGGCATGCAGATAACGGCGTAAAGTCGCAACCGGATACAACACATGATGCACCATCGGCCTGACCAACCAAGCATCAATAACCCACAGACCCCTCCAGAAGCCTGCCATCTCATTCTTTGCCAGAAAAGAAGGTGATGACTGCAAATGAACTAAATGTCTACCCAGACCAAAAGACAGAAGCCTCTGCACTGGAGGAGAGCATGAAGCTCCCGGACCCGACCCCCAGAAGCCAAAGCCAACAAAAACAAAGCCTTCTGGAAACAATCACTGACCGAAGGGGACACCACAAACAGAGGGGAAAAAGAGAGTACCTGGTCCAAAGACCAGGTCGACTCAGGCAGCACATGAGCAGGCTGGAGGTGGAAAAACGCATGAGAAAGCTTACGAAATGGAGCAGAAGTGACATCCACCCCGAATGCAAGCTGGAGCAGCTCCACCAGCGCTGCACAATACAAAGCGACAGTACAGTGGTACAGTGGTACCTCGGAATGCGAGTGTCCCTGTATGCGAGTTTTTCGGAAGACGAGCAGTATTTACTCCAAAAATTTGTCTCGGAAGGCGAGGGTTACCTCGGGACGCGAGTTTGTTGATACGCGTACAGGCCGACCTAGCGCGTGATGGTTCGGCGATCGTCGCCCCTCTGCCCCGCCGCCCCTCAGTTTACCATTGTCTCGCGCTCAGTGACTACCCCCACATCAATTCTTCTCGCGGATTTTCGGTGTTTTGTTGGATTTTTGGTGATTTGTCTATACAATTTGTTATTATATATCTCACCATGGGTCCCAAGAAAGCCAGTGGTAAGGATAAAGGCCAGAAAGCTCATGTGAGGATGACAATAGAGGAGAAACAAGAGATCATTCGGAAGCATGAGAACGGTACACGTGTTGTTGAACTTTGTAGGCAGTACAACAAAGCCACATCAACAATATGCACTATACTTAAGAAGAAAAATGAGATTATGGGTGCTAAAGTGGCAAAAGGAGTAAGAACATTAACGGCACAAAGACCACAAATACTTGAAGTGGAAAAGTTGTTATTAATTTGGATACACGACAAGGAGTTGAGGGGTGATAGTGTTTCGGAGGCCATTATTTGTGAGAAAGCCAGGGTGTTGCACGAAGACCTTCTAAAGAATACCCCTGCAACGAGTGATGCAGATACGAAAGAGTTTAAGGCAAGCAGGGGCTGGTTTGAAAAATTTAGAAAGAGAAGTGGCATCCATAGTGTTACAAGGCATGGGGAGGCAGCCAGCTCAGACAAACCAGCCGCTGGACGATTTATTGACGAATTTAAAGAGTTTGTAGAGGCTGAGGGATACCTACCGCAACAAGTGTTTAATTGTGACGAAACAGGACTGTTTTGGAAAAGAATGCCTAAGAGGACATACATTACCAAGGAGGAAAAATCCTTGCCTGGACACAAGCCTATGAAAGATAGGTTTACGCTTGTACTGTGTTCAAATGCGAGTGGCGATTTGAAAATTAAACCCTTGCTAGTGTATCATTCTGAAAATCCAAGGGTTTTCAAACAGTATAAAGTGCAGAAAACCCATTTGTGTGTGATGTGGAAGTCTAATAAAAAAGCATGGGTGACTAGGCTTATTTTTTCGGAGTGGGTGAATGAAGTGCTGTGCCCTGCCATAGAAAAATATCTGCAGGAGAAACAATTGCCACTCAAAGCCGTGCTTCTCCTTGACAATGCTCCTGCTCATCCTCCAGGCTTGGAAGATGATTTGTTGCCTAGATACAATAAATTCCTCACAGTTAAATTCCTTCCTCCTAACACCACTCCTCTAATTCAGCCTATGGACCAGAAAATCATAGCGAATTTTAAGAAACTTTATGAAAGGGTACTTTTCCGGAAATGTTTTGAAGTGACTGAAGCCACAAACCTCACCCTCAAAGAGTTCTGGAGAGAGCATTTTAACATTTGTAGTGCTTTAAAACTCGTTGACAAAGCCTGGCAAGAAGTGACTCAAAGAACCCTGATCTCTGGCTGGAGAAAATTGTGGCCTGAATGTGTGAGAGAACTAGACTTTGAGGGGTTTGAGCCTATAAATGATGCGCCTATTGTTGAGGAAATTGTTAGTCTAGGCCAGCAAATGGGCTTGGAATTGGATGGTGATGATGTGGAGGAGTTGGTGGAAGAACACAACGAAGAACTGACCACCGAAGAACTCCTAGCCCTTCAACAGGAACAGCAAGCCAACGCAGCAGCGAATGATTCTGCAGTGGAGGAGGAGGTTGCAGCAGCACCAGCGAATGTCCCTTCTGCAGTAATTAAGAAGGTGTGTCAGATGTGGGAAGAGATTCAAACAACTGTTGAACAGACTCACCCAGAGAAAGCTGTAGTAGGCCGTTGTCTTAATCTTTTCAATGACAATGTGATGCCTTACTACAGAGAGAGCTTGCGAAGAAGGGAAAAGCAAGCTTCCATGGACAGATTTGTGGTGAGGAAATCGAGCAGTGAGCCTCAACCAGGACCTAGTGGCACTCAGATAAAACGTTCCAGGGAGAGCACAGCAGAAAGGTCCTCACTGCCTGATGTGATTATGGAAGGGGACTCCCCTTCCAAACAGTAACTCCTCTCCTCCTCCCCCCTCCTCACCATCTTCCATATGCCTACAGCACTCGACAGCAAGGTAAGTAATAACTGGAACATAGTTTTGTAGGTTTATTTAGATGAATTAGGTAAATTAGGTATAAAAATTTAGTTTGATGTGGGATTTTTGGGGTAGTCAGGAACGGATTAATTCATTTCCCTTTATTTCTTATGGGGAAATTAGCTTCGGAATGCGAGTTTTCGGAATACGAGGTGTCTCCAGGAACCAAATAAACTCGTAAACTGAGGTATGCCTGTACCTTCGTTTTCGTAGTTGATCCATTCCCCAGAGAGGGTACGAAAACCTAAATGAATTTTCCAATAAGAAATAATGTAAATTGAATTAATCCGTTCTACACCCCAAAAAATATTAACTAAAAAACACATTTTATACAGAATAATACTCTTAGGTACCTTACCTTTATGGAGGACTCTTGTTGGAATATGGAAGACAGTGAGGAGGGGGAAGAAAAGGGAAGGTGTTAGAGTTTAGAAGGGGAGTCCCCTTCCATTATAACAGCAGTGATGACATTTGTGGGGTACTGTACTCTCTCTCACGTTTTGCCTGCATACCACTAGGACCTGGTTGTGGCTCACTGCTTGCTTGTCTCACTAAGAATCTGTCTATAGACACTTGTTTTTCCCTACATTTTAACACTTGTCTGTAGTAAGACATCACATTGTCTATGAATGATCTCTTGTTTTTCCTCTATCGTCATCCTCACAACTATTTTCTTAGGTTGAACATTACCACTGACTTTCTTGGAACCCATGGTGTGATATAAGAACTTTTAAGTTCAGAAAAAAAACAAAAATGAAATTCTTCACAAAGAATCCAAATGTGATCATCACTAGGCGGGAGACAATTTAAACTGAAGCGCCATATTCACGGCGGACCCGTACGTGTATAAACAAACTACGACAACCGAATCTAGAAATTTACTACGAGAACCGATAACTACGAGAACAGGGGCCTATGAGAGCTGAGGTTCCACTGTATTCGGCATCAGATGCCTGTCCTGAAAAAGCCAAGAAAGAAAATTGAATGCAACATGAACCGAGACCGAGGACATCCGAAGAAGGAAAAGGAAGTGGCAAAAAGACCGCCAAAAGACTGCAGGTGGGACACCATTAGAGAAGCCACCAGGTTACCATACAGATGGAGATACACCCGCTTCAGAAACTCCAGATGCGAAGCAGGGAAGAGAAGAGCGGACCAGCAAGGTACCTCACCGGCCGCGGAAAACGCCCCGGGGTCAGACACCAATCAAGCAGCTCCTGAAACGAAGGTTGGACCAGCCACCATGGGGCCAGAAGGAAAACCCCTTCCCCAATAGGACTGTGACGGCCTCACAGTTCGGGAAGGACGCCACATAGAGATGCCTCGAACACGCCGTTGTTAAGAGGTCCACCTTTGGGGACCCGTACGTCCGGCAGAGCCAACTGAAGGAGTCAGCATTGACTGACCATAATGTGAACAGGGGAATGAACCGCAACAGGCCGTTTACCAGGACGTTGGACATGCCCAATATGAACTGCACAAAAAGCTAAACCCCGAGAACTCGGCCCCAAAAAGCCAAGGTCCACAGAGACTCCCCGTGGTTCAGGCAATGAACCACCAAAGTGCAGTCCGAATGGAGCTGGATCGTAGAGCCTCGAGAGAGGCAAATTTGATGCAGCGCAAGCCCCACTGCTGCGAACTCCCGCACCGTGCTGTGAACCCGATGGAAGGATGGAGCCTATCTCCCTTGGCTGGCCTTATGAGCACTGATCACAAACACCCAGCCTAGAGAGGAGGTCTCCATGAACACATTGACCAAGGGCTCGAGGAGGCGCCAAGGCACTGAACCCCGAAAAACACGACGAAGCCCCCGGGGGATGAACCCAGCAATCGTGAGAGCAGCGGAAGGGGCAGCCCTGAAGGCTGCCCCTTCCCGAAGGAACCAGAACAGATGCCACAGCCAAACCCAACAGGTAAATGTTGGGTTTAAAGAAGCCAAACCCAGTGGGTAAATGATCAAAGAGAAGCTCCTTCCACACAGCTGCTCGAGCATCCGCCAGATGACCCGGGACCCCCTCAGAAACAGCCGACGGCGGGAATGCAGCTGGAGCAATGCTGCCTGAGAGACAAGGACGCTGTCCGGGAATCCCAGACAAGGCCCAGCCTGATTAGGAATAAGGAAGATGGGACCACCTCCAATTCACCAGGAACTCGAACCCGGCAAGCTGTGAAAGAACCTAGGTACATATAGTGGTACCTCGGCTTACGAGCGCCCCTGGTTACGAGTTTTTCAGGTTACGAGCAGGATTTGCTCGGAAAATTTGTATCGGGATATGAGGGTTGCCACAGGTTACAAGTTTGTTGATACACGTACGAACCGACCTAGCGCATTGTGGCACGGCGATCGCCACTCAGTGATCCAGTGCCTCGTGTCCAGTGACTATCCTGCCTGAATTCTTCACAAGGATTTACAGTTTTTTGTCGGATTTCTGGCCATTTGAGCATAAAAGTTGTTATATATCTCGCCATGGGTCCCAAGAAAGCCAGTGGTAAGTTTCAACCTAAGAAAATAGTTGTGAGTAGAGGATGTCCCTTCTTCATTAAGAAAATGTGTGAAGTATGGGAAGAACTGCAAAGTTTTGTTGAAAAACTCACCCAGATAAAGCTGTAGCAGGCCATTGCATTGACCTGTTAAATGACAATGTGATGTCTTACTACAGACAAGTGTTAAAATGTAGGGAAAAACAAGTGTCTTTAGACAGATTCTTAGTAAGACTAGCAAGCAGTGAGCCACAAGCAGGTCCTAGTGGTATGCAGGCAAAACGTGCCAGAGAGTGCACACCAGAGAAGTCCTCACTGCCTGATGTTATAATAGATGGGGACTCCCCTTCCAAACATTAACACCTCTCCTTCTCCCCCCTCCTCACCAGCTTCCATACAGCAGTCATCAGAAATGGTAAGTAATAACTTGAACATAGTTTTGTAGTGTAGATTTAGATGAATTAGGTATAAAATTTAGTTTGAAGTGAGGTTTTTGGGTAGTCAGGAACGGATTAATTAATTTCCCATTATTTCTTATGGGGAAATTAGCTTCGGGTTACGAGTTTTCGGGTTACGAGCTGTCTCCAGGAACGGATTAAACTCTTAAACCGAGGTACCACTGTATCACCTAATAGGAACCTCGGCAGCCTCCCAACAGGCAATAAAGAAAACTAATAGAAGGAAAGAGAACTCCAAGGAAACACCACAACCCAGCGGACCAGAAAGATGCTCAGCAACCGTGATTATGCAAGCTGTGCAGCCCACTGCACCCCAACCAGTAATAACCGCACCGAGACCTAAGCTGACCCCAAAGACGAGGCAGAAGTCAAGCAACGGCTACCTCTTCGGGAATGGGAGCCCAAGAAATCCAGGGAAGGCAACCCTGAACTCCAAGGGGTGTACTCACAGGGCGCTTAGGGAAGGAAGCCCTAAGCGTATGCAGCTCATGGTACCAACTCCTGACCACTGCCTAATGAACAGCAGGAACACCTACTGGTTGAAAATCCTGTCAGGCAACAAAGACCAGAGTAAACGTCCACCCCATTTAGCTTCAGTCGACAAATTAATGGTCCGGCTGCCGGCTCAGTGGGTCGGAACCCCCTCTTCCCCTGGTTGGGGGATGGGAGGGGTTGGCATGTGGCACACGGTGTGAAAAGTTGCTTGTTTTCTTGTTTGTTCTGTATTAAATGAATATGCCATACTTTCTAAGAGATCATTAATTGAGTAGTAGGGTGAACAGCAAGTCTGGTCAGAAGACATCTGGCAACCTTAACACACAAGAGAGAGACTTGTTTATTAGTATTCAACTTCAGTGATTTACATGGAATACTTTATAGGAAGGTTAAAAAAAATATTAGCCCCGCCACAATACGATAGATCATGTTTTATTGGTCAACCTGGGAGTAAGCTGACCAAAATGTTTATGTAAAAAATTCCATTTAGGCATATATCTCTTACATGGCAACTTCCATCACAGAACAAAACAGAAGCCACATCACTTCTCAGGCAAGTCTAATCGAGTATCACGAGTTCCCACATGAGCATACCTAGTAAAAAGCTTTGAACCTAATGTAATATTCATCTACAATATATTTTATTCTCAGGAAATATGTGGTATTAACCATATGATAATTCTTGGTTATACTGTACTGTTGAAATTTTCTTACAAATGGGCAGCAGGTTTTGCTGTCTGGAGTCTCTGATTAGGGTACAACAGGGGTACCTATCATACCCCTGTTGACGATTCACAGGGTCAACGTGTCCGTGGCCCAGTACGGTCTGACCAGGCCTCCTAGTTGGTGGTGTCAACCAGGCTATATGATGCAGCATCTCACAGCCTGACATACGAGTCACAGTCTGGTTTAGAGATGAATCTCTGATTCAAAACAATAGCTTCCAATTTATTACAAGCACACTACAGCAAAACTGTGTGATTACAATATAATTTAAAGTACTTGTTACAGTACAATAAACACAAGGAAATTAATATACTAAATCATTATAGTACTTCACCTATTTTCCTGTTGACGATACTGCAATCTGCAAACACCAGTAGCAATATTAAATAATGGATGACTAGCTGTCTCCAACACATACAACGCTCTCTCAATCAGCTGAGCAGCCATGGCAGAATCATCACCAAGTCGAAATATTTCAGAGACTTGAAGAAGAGTATCCACATGGAAGGGTTCATGGTTGAGTAGAGTCTGAGGTCATGCAAAAAATAAAAAAAAATGAAGTACAAGTCTATAATTATTCTGTTTACCTATTCTGTGTGTTAAATTTGATTTGCATGTACAGTATCTTCCCTTCCACATAAGACACAAAAGCATTTAGATATTTAACACAGAATGGCCAAGGAATTCATAAATTACATTTATATTACGGTAGTCAAAACATAAATATAAATATATTACAGTAGGAAGGGAGTACCACCTCTGGCTGGAAGAAGGGGACCCTTAACCTCAGAGGAAATCACACATAACACGAAGGGAATGTTTAGGTCCCCTCCAATACAGTTTGTGCGCTTTTCCCCTACCACCCCTTCCTATTGTGTATATATACACGTGTAGTATATGTATGTATGTATGTGTATATATATATATATGTTAATTATATATGATACTGTAAAGATTATTACAAGTGTAATGCACAGTACAGTAATGTATTGCTCAAGAAGCTTTCACTAACCATAATATTTTCGGGGTTTAAAGATTCAACAGCCTCAAGAAAACGGAACTGGAACTGCTGATATGTTTGACTGTGGACATACTTGAACACTGGATAAGTCGGTGTGGACTCGGCCACAACCATGGATATACCTGGCCGAGGATGTGCTGCCCAATTTGGATGTCCTTGAACAATCCATGTTGACCTTACTGATCTACCAGTTCTGCCCCGGCGTCTGCTGGACAGGAGAACAATAAATTTGGACATATAATCAATTGATGACCATTACTCTATGGTGTCGGAAATCTGACACACATTAACATACTACAGTTACCCTTTAAGAATCAGAGAATGGGATTCCATGACGTCATCAACAACACGTAAATATGAACTCATTTCTTTTAAACTTCAGTCTAGCGTTTAAACTTAATAAAATAGTAATCACTAGGACTGAATATAAATAAATACACCAGAAATATAGCTTGACTCCCTATTCCTTAATACGTAGATAGAACCAGCAGATATTGTTGGAACGCCAGCTGAGGGAGGAGGGAGGCGAGTCACGCACACAGAATGTAAACAGAGGAACACAAAACAGAGAGGGCTCCTTACGAGCAGCACAACTCATCATAGACTCCCAAAATATGAGCCAATCAACCGAGTAACTGCCACAGCAACTACTACAACAACAAGAATACCCGAATATCCGTCTTACCAATTATCTATTACATGTTTTTGGCCATTTACTGTTTTAGATAGGTCTGGTGGTTATACAGTGAGCTTAAAGTTCAACAAAACAAATATTTTACTCAGCAGTACACACACAATATTCATGTCACACCTGTACTTTATATGTTAATGTGCCATTACTAATGTCCTTCATTTGGCAGGTAAATTGTGATTTGGAGTTACTGAAAAGATAAGTTGGCCCACACAAACTATATAGTTTCTTGATACCCTAGCTGTACACAGATGCCACTGTACTAGGCTGCCATTACAAGGCCCTGGACCACTTGTGCCACACCCTAACAGATGTTGGATGAAACATATCCAGCCTAATTAGGCCATAACAACTACACAGCTAAGGATATAAATATTTTTATGCAATAAAGTAGATAGAGTAATACTAATACTGTAGATTAGGCCATAATATGTGGCATAATTTATATTTTGCAAGAGGTAAACAATTGTAGTTTATAATATATCCACTCATAGGTGGTATAAGTTATAATAGTCCCTCAAAACAATGTGTAGATAAGTTCTGGCAGGCTGAATCAAAATATAGTCCACTTAGAATCATAATACAGTAATTCAATATTGAAGTTAACAAAAAATATAATGTTGACCAGACCACACACTAGAAGTTGAAGGGACGACGACTACGTTTCGGTCCGTCCTGGACCATTCTCAAGTTGATTGTGATGAGGAGGTAGAGACAGGCAATAAATTGCCTGTCTCTACCTCCTCATCACAATCGACTTGAGAATGGTCCAGGACGGACCGAAACGTAGTCGTCGTCCCTTCAACTTCTAGTGTGTGGTCTGGTCAACATACTTCAGCCACGTTATTGTGACTCATCGCCTGCAAAAAATACAATAAAAATAAATGCCTGCCTGCTAGGATTTTCCCACATATGGGAAGGAATGTGTTTACATATGGAGCAAGGGATTATTACCATACTGGTGCAATGTGAACACAAGAATAAAGGTAACTGCAGAAGTCCTATTGGCCCATCCGAGGCAGCTCTTATTTATAACCACCCAATCTCATTCATATACATGTATACTGTATGTCTAACCTATGCTTGAAACAATCAAGGGATCCAACTTCTATTACGTTATGTGGTAATTGGTTCCACAAATCAACAACCCTATTCCCGAACCAGTATTTACCCAGGTCTTTCCTAAATCTAAGCTTGTTATATCCATTCATCCACTTGTACACCTCAATCATGTCACCCCTAATTCTTTGCCTTTCTAGAGAATGTAATTTGAGCTTTATTAATCTTTCTTCATATGACAGGTGTCTAACTTGGGGGATTAGCTTTGTCATCCTACACTGGACATGTTTTAGTGAATTTATAGCATTCTATAGTGCTATACAGCGACCAAAACTGAACTGCATAATCTAAATAGGGCTTAACCAGAGCAAGATATAACTGAAGAACACCACCAGGTGTCTTATTAGTAATGCTTCGATTAATAAATCTCAGCATCCTATTTACCTTATTATGAACATTTATGCATTAATTTTTTGGTTTTAAATTTTTACTAATCGCAACTCCTAGATTCCTTTCGCAATTAAACTCGCAATCTCAACACCATCTAGCTCGTATCTTGTAACTATATCATTACCTAGCCTCAAAGCCTTACATTTGTCAGCATTAAACTGTATCTGCCAATCTTTTGACCATTTTAAAACCCTATTTAGATTGTCTTGAAGTGACAAGAGTTTTTCCACGTTTATTTCCCTCTTGATTTTTGTATCATTGGCAAATTTGCAAACGTTGCTGCTCAAACCTGAATCTAAATCATTTATATATACTGTACCTGTATTATGAATAACAGAGGTCCCAGGACAGAGCCTTGAAGCACTCCACTTACAACATTTTCCCACTCTGACAACCCCATTTATACTGTGTTTCCTTTGGTATAGCCATGCCCTAATTCAACTTAATATAATACCCCCAATACTGTGAGCCTCTAACTTATTAATTAGTCTTTCATGTGGCACTGTATCAAAAGCTTTGCTAAAGTCAAGATACACAACATCACAAATCTTACCACTATCAACTGCATATGGATGTATAATGATTGGGTAACCAGGGCCCAAGTGGATACATAAAGAGAGGGGGGGGGGTGCGGGGTGTTACTGCTGTGTAGAGGGTCATGAGGATGCACGACTGAACAACCACTGCTGCGTGGGACAGCTATAAGCACACATGACTGGAGGACCACTGCCATGCATGGCCAATGTGGAAGTTGTACAATTACTTTACCCACAGATCACAAACCAAGAGGCAAAAACTATAAAAATTGCTTTAAATTTATGATCATAAAACTAGGTACACAATAATTATATCAACACACTTACTTGTTTTCATTAGCCTGCACAACTTTAGAGCCAAATATCCGCTTCATTTCATTCTGGGGGTTCAGGTGCTTATGCTCCACATTCAGTAGATTTCGTGCGAGTTTATCACCTATTAATTAAAAAGAATATTTTTTTGTTAGCACTTTTTAAGTTATTTTTTTATTGCAAAGGAAAGCTATTGCAAAGCTATTGCAAAGTTATTTTTATGAAAACTTAATACAGGGGTATCTTGGTTTAAGATTTTAATCTATTCCTGGAGACTGTTCGTAACCCGAAAATTTGTAAACCGAAGCAAATTTCCCCATAAGAAATATTGGTAATGGGAAAATTAATTAATCCGTTCCTGACTCCCCAAAAACTTCACTTCAAAGTAAATTTTATACCTAATTCACCCAAATCTTCACTACAAAAGTATGTTCAAGTTATTACTTACCCTTGCTGATAACTCCTGTTGGCGTATGGAAGATGGTGAGGAGGGGGGGGGGGGAAAGAAGAGGAGTTACTGTTTGGAAGGGGAGTTCTCTTCCATGATAACATCAGGCAGTGAAGATTTCTCTGGAGAATTACGTGCCTCTCTGGCACGTTTTGCCTGCATACCATTAGGTCCTGGTTGTGGCTCACCACTTTATTTTCTCACAAGGAAACGTTCCATTGAAGATTGTTTTTCCCTTCTTTGCAAAACTTGTTTGTTGTGAGGCATCACATTGTTATTGAAAAAGATTAATGCAACGGCCAACTACAGCTTTTTCTAGACGAGTTGTTTCAATAAAAGTTTGCATTTCTTCCCACATCTTACACCACTTCCTAATTGTTGAGGAAGGGACATTCTCTACTGCCTCATCCTCCTTGGAAGAAATATCCTCAGTTGCCTGTTGTTGCTGCTCCTTTTGAAGGGCTTGGAGTTCTTCGGTGCTCAGTTCTTCATTGTGTTCTTCCACGTCGGCACTATCCAATTCCAAGCCCATTTTCCGGCCCAGAGTAACAATTTCCTCAACAACAGGCACTTCATTTACAGGCTCAAATCCCTCAAAGTCTAGTTCTGACACACATTTAGGCCACAATTTTCTCCAGCCAGAGATCAGGGTTTTTTGAGTCACTTCTTGCCAGGCTTTGTCAACGAGTTTTAAAGCACTACAAATGTTAAAATGGTTTTTCCAGAGCTTTTTGAGGGCGAGGTTTGTGGCATCAGTCACTTCAAAACATTTCCGGAAAAGTACCCTTTCAATACAATACAATACAATACAATTTTATTTAGGTAAGGTACATACATACAATAAATATTTACAAGGATTGTTTAACTTATAGGTATAGCTAGTACATACAATGCCTAAAGCCACTATTACGCAAAGCGTTTCGGGCATGAGAAAATATAAAGTATAAAGTATAAAGTATAAAATATAAAATTTCATATAAAGTTTCTTAAAATTCGCTATGATTTTCTGGTCCATAGGCTGAATTAGAGGAGTGGTGTTAGGAGGAAGGAACTTTACTGTGAGAAAATTAAATCTGTTCAACAATGTATCTTCCAAGCCTGGAGGATGAGCAGGAGCAATTGTCGAGGAGAAGCAGGGCCTTGAGTGGCAAACTTTTCTCCTGCGGATTTTTTTGTATGGCAGGGCACACCACTTCATTCACCCACTCTGTAAAAAAAAAAGAAATCCGAGTCACCCATGCCTTATTATTATCCCTCCACATAACACACATTTGGTTTTTCTGCACACCATACTCTTTGAAACCCTTTGATTTTCAGAATGATACACAAGCAAGGGTTTAATTTTCATATTGCCACTCGCATTTCCACACAGCACAAGTGTAAACCTATCTTTCATAGGCTTGTGTCCGGGCAATGATTTTTCCTCCTTGGTAATGTATGTCCTCTTAGGCAATCTTTTCCAGAACAGTCCTGTTTCATCACAATTAAACACTTGTTGTGGTAGGTATCCCTCAGCCTCTGCAAACTCTTTAAATTCTTCAATAAATCTTTCAGCTGCTGGTTTGTCTGAGCTGGCAGCCTCCCCATGCCTCAACACTATGAATACCACTTTTTTTTTTTAATTTGTCAAACCATTCCCTGCTTGCCTTAAAGTCTTTCGCATCTGCACTCGTTCCAGGGGTTTTCTTTACAAGATCTTCGTGCAATGATGGATGCACAAATGATGGCCTCTGAAACACTAACACCTGCTAACTCCTTGTTGTGTACCCAAATTAATAACTTTTCCACATCCTCAAGTATTTGTGTTCTTTGTTTCGTGATTGTTGATACACTCTTTGCCACTTTAGCACTCAAAATGTCCTTTTTCTTGGCAAGTACAGTGCATATCGTTGACATGGCCTTGTTGTACTGCCTAGCTAGTTCAACAACACGAGTACCATTTTCGTGCTTACGAATGATCATGTTTTTCCTCTATGGTCATTGTCACATGTGATTTCTTGTCTTGAACCTTACCACTGGCTTTCTTGGGACCCATGGCGAGATACATAACAAATTTTATGCTCAAATAGCAAAAAATCTGAAAAGAAACGGTAAATCCTTGCGATGAATTCAGGCGGGATAGTCACTGGGTGCGAGGCACTACTAAACGGAGGCGCGATCGCCATGCCACCACGCGCTAGGTCAGCTGTACGCGTATCAACAAACTCGTATCCAGAGGTAAAGTTCGTATCCCGATTCAAATTTTCCAAACAAATCGGGCTCGTAACCAGAAAAGTTTGTAAACTGTTTGTAAACTGAGGTACCACTGTATAGAATTTTTTAGAAGACTCATTGGCCCTTGCAAGGCAGCACTTACTCATGTCTGTGGTGTAGTGGTAAGACACTCGCCTGGCGTTCCGTGAGCGCTATGTCATGGGTTCGTATCCTGGCCGGGGAGGATTTACTGGGCGCAATTCCTTAACTGTAGCCTCTGTTTAACGCAACAGTAAAATGTGTACTTGGATGAAAAAACGATTCTTCGCGGCAGGGGATCGTATTCCAGGGACCTGCCCGAAACGCTACGCGTACTAGTGGCTGTACAAGAATGTAACAACTCTTGTATATATCTCAAAAAAAAGTCAAACCACTTCAACTAGTGTATTTATCAAGCTAAGCATCTAACGAATTCATTATATAATCATTCAACATTCAACTAATCTGAATACACTATACATATTATGTATAACATTAAATGTGATAAATTTGGACAAACAGAACGGTAAACTCACTTGTGGCTTTTTCAACACTGACTTGTACCCGAGTCTCGCCGGAAATGGCATTTACTTCTTCAATGATGTTATCTATCTCATCCTTATCATTCTGATGATCAAAAACAAACAAGAAAGCTTTGTAAAATTAATCTATCATAAAATGCAATACTTTTGATTAACAATTATAAAGGATAGCATGTGTATCAGCCCCACTATCCATGTACAGTACAACTATGTGGCACACACATGTACACCAGTTAAAGTGATAGTTGAGAGGTGGAACCAAAGAGTTGAATCTCAACCAATGCAAGCACAACTAGGCAAGTACATCTGGGCATCTGCTGTGAATAAAGGAGAAGTAAAGACAGCAGGGGACCCATTTTCATCCCCAGCTATATTATCACGAGAAAATACCCAGTGATCTTCGGGTCAAATATGTTCAGGTTCCTGTAGATAAAGGCAGGTATTTATGGCAGTGAGCAATGCAACAATGGAATATATACAAGTCTTCAAAGATGGTAAGTTTGATGTACAGTACTTGGGTTGTGTAGAAAGAAAGTTAATTAAAAGAAAGGTATAATTGCATACAGACTGTATGGCTGACAGTGAGTGAACATAAAAGTATTAACAATTAATATGATAAACTCTTCATACAGTAAGTCAATGCATGTATAGTATCAGTGTAAGAAATTCAAGTGTCTTATGACTAAGGTGGCTTTTAATTGTATAATCATCACTCGCTGATGGTATTGTGAATGAAAAGGTCATTACTGTAGTTTGATGAATTGGAGTGATACTAAAGGTACATTATAAACACACACACAGCTGAGCTCTGTGTGATGATAATTTTAATCAAATACAACAGATGTAAATATAGGTACAGTAAGTAAACAAATATATCACTATGTTGTACAGCTAAATTAAAACTTACATCGGTTGGATCTTCACTGCTGGCAGGGACTCTTACTCTACCTCTCTTCTTCTTCTTTTTACGTTTTCGCTTAGCTCCAGACCCAAGAGGAGGCTGTGGAGAAAGGCCATCCCGATGAACATCCTCTCTGCCTTCACCAGGTTCAGTCAAGTCATCGTCTTCCTTCACCTCAGACTCTGATGGAGATCCCTGGATCAACTGCAATAAATAATTAGTTGCTAGAATAAAATACAAGTACTCAAGTAATACTGACAAATACATTAAAATTTTTATTAATACAACAAAATTTGACTCGTGTATGCATACCAACCATCCTGTCCTCTCACCCTATACTTAATTCATTTTTATGGATGTGCCCAATCCATTATGAAATGCAATTATTACATGTTAAAGCACCCTAATATTGATGTTTCCTCTACACCTCAGTATGTTACGTTGGCTGCTTGGATTACGTTTGTTGGGAGACACAAGACATCCAACATTCATGTGTAGCCGTACAGATGGCCCTACGGGCCACCGCACTTGCCTTCCGAAACAAAACAAAAGAATCGGCCGTCTGCCGGCGGCGGTCTCTCTTCCAGGCTGCACACTTACAGTGGACAGCCCGAGCACAGTCTGCATTCCACCAGGGACTGTGGATCGCACTTCTGTGGTCCTTGAGAGGAAGAGCGAGGAATAGAGTGGAGGGCAGCGTCAAAGATGGTGTCATGAAAAAGGAGGAGAAAGCAAGGGAGAGGCAGAAGGGAGAGGTCAGAGAGAACAACACTGAGGATAAATAGGTTCCAGTCTGCCTTAGCAAATTGCCACCTAGGGAAGGAGAGGGGAGGGTGAAAAGAGAAAAAGGAAACAAGGATGGGAAAATGGTCACTGCCATGGAGGTCATCAAGAACTCGCCACATGAAATCCGAGTAAAGAGATGACGAGCAGAGAGAAAGATCAATACAGGAAAGGGTGCGAGTCCGAGAGTCCAAATGCATGTATAGTACCTCCCATGTATAGTACCTCCCATGTATAATGCATGTATAATGGTCTGGTGAGTGGGCTCACTAGACTTCAGAAGAGACAAGAAAGAAGAGAGGATGAATGGTTCAAGAAGGCGACCCCAGGTGTTTGTCAGATCATCACCTCAAAGGGTATGACGACAAGTGAAATCACCTAGCAGGAGCACAGGCTCCCGGAAGGAGTCCAGTAGGTGTTTAAGATCCGGAAGAGAAAGCGAGACACTCGGGGGTGGGGGGGGGGGGGGGAGAGATAAATGGAATAAACCGTGTACCATTTCCCCACAAAGATACGAAGCAGCAGAACAATGGAGAGGCGATGGAAAAAGTAAGGGGACAAAGGGAACATCAGAGCAAATCAAGAGAGCAGAAGTTAGGAGCCCCAGCTAGGGGAAGGGGGAGAGAAAGGAATAGCCACAGAAGCAACCAGGACGAGTACCAAGAGTACCAAGCATCGGCTCCTTGAGACAGACACAAAGGGGCGAAAACCGTGAAATCAGAAGTTGGAGTTCAAGGAAATTGGCATGATAACCACGAATGTTCCACTGAAGAATAGACATCGGCAAGAAGAGAAAGGACAGCAACAGAGAACAACGAAGAAACAAAGGTGAAAAGCGAACACAGCACGTTAAAGAAGCGCAGGATCAGGGTCAGGGACAGCGAAGTCAGGGTTAGGGGGCATGGGTAAACTGAGTAAAGATGGAGGGAAGGGAGCGGGAGGATAGACCAGATTCGAATGTGCAGGGACAGGTGGAGGTGGAGAAGGAGGGGGGGGGGGGGGGACAACCGAGGGTCAAGGACAGCAGCAGGAGGGGCAGAAACCAGGGAGTGCACCTCAGCAAGGGCAGCAACCGAGGGGGAAGTGGGGGCCAAAGAAACGTCCATAGCAGGAACAGGGGGCGCAACCTCCGAAATGGGAGGGGATGGAACAAGAGTCAGAGGCAGGGGGCGAGGAAGAAAGCGAAGCCTTCTTACCAGCCGGGATGGAGGAGGGAGAGGAGCCAGGCTTTCGCTTCTGACTCAAAGAGACAGGCGTCCCAACAACAATGTACTGGGCAATAGATTCAAGCGTCTCAACAGAAGCAGAACGAGAGCAAACATGATGGCCGTTGGGAGAGTGATGGACATCAGCCTGCACTGACAGGCGGCGTGGAGAGCTAAGAGACGGAGAAGGATGGGAAGGAGGATCGAAGGGAGACGAGGAAGAAGACACAGGAGACATGACAGACTGGGTAGAAAGAAGGGGAACCCCAGACAGAGAGCCATGAGGGGGACCCTTCGGGACAGAACTGAAAGGAACAGAGGAGGCGGTGGGCGTGTCTGGGTCTAAGGCCTGGAAACGGTTGTGATACTGAGGAAGGCGGGAAGGACGAGGAGAGGAAGAGCGCAACACGCAAGCATAAGAGACGTTAGCATAAGGTGGGAGATGGTGAACCTGGCGCCTCGCCTCAGGAAAAGACAAAGATTCCCGCTTCTTCAAGTTGAGGATGGATGCCTCAAGCTTGTAATGTATACACGCGCGGGAGAAGGTAGGGTGGGCCTCACCACAATTGAGGCAGCGAGCCTGGAGAGAAGTGCACTTTGCCTTAGAGTGACCTTCGTCCCCACACACAGGACAGAGAGAGAGACAGTACCAGAGCAGCGGAGGGCACCATGCCCAAACCTCCAGCACTTATTACAGAGCCGAGGAGAGGGAATGTGCTCCTAGACGGAGCACCTGGCACCAGCAAGAATGACAGAAGGCAAAAGGGTCCTACCATCAATGGTAATCTTCACAACCCGTAGGGGTTGACGACGATGACCACGAGGGGGACGAGTAAATGAGTCTACTTGGAGGACAGAATGGCCCTGGGCTTCGAGGATATGCCGAATATCTTCGTGGCAGTCCTGTAGATTTCGAACACCGGTTGCAACATGGGGTGGGAGGAGAATAGTGCCAACACTAGCATTCAACCGAGCGTTCTTGGAGACCTAAACAGGGTTCTCGCCAAGGCAGGATAAGGCGGCCCAGCGGGAGGCTGTATCCTGAGGAGCAGCAGCAACGACTCATGTACTGAGATGGGTGGGGTTGAAGGTAACAGAGGCATCTACTGAATCAACAAGGTGCCTATGGAGGGAGAAATCGTCTGAAGGTGTAGAATCAAGAGGGAGGAGATCAAAAGTATTTAGCCCACGAAGCGGGACCAAACAAGGCTTGATACGCATCAGTACGGGAAGGAATCGAGCGAGTGCAGCCGTGGCGAGGATGGCGTTGAGAACCCCCAGAGAGAGAGGAGTTAAAAGGTGCAGTAGTCACAACTAGAGACTGAGCCGTGCCAGGAGACGAGGTGGTCACCACTGGGGGCTTGGGGCTCGACCCAACCACAGAGGAGGGAGGGGAGCAGAGAGGAATAGTCAGGAGGGTCAAAGGCAGAGCAAGGTCGGGGCCCAATGCAGCAGGGGCTACAGAGCCCGGTCTTCCAACACAGGCCGACTCGAGGGCTTGGTCACCCACCCCACGAGCCCGAGAAGGTATAAGAGGAACATTAATTGACATGCAAAAGAGGAAAGACTTTCATTCACGAATGTGCCCCCCACAACCATCACAGAGCCACAATTAGAGGCAGGACACCCAACAAGAGACTTATTGCCGATCTTGACGGGGCCCCCAAGGGGTGAGTTATGTGTATACGCCCCACAAACGCCATCTTAAGAACCGTCAATCCGTCGAGAACGGGTTCAATGACGAAAGGAGGATCAACAATAAAAGGGTCCCTCGCTCGAGACGTTGGGTACAACAGTCTCGAGCTGTTGGAAACTAGGCGAGTAGAGGAACAAGTCTTCTAGACACTAGCTTCCTCCCTGCGGGGTGCTCCAGAGAGCTGGCACATTACGTATGTCTTACATGCATGATCGTTTGTTTAAATCTCAGAGTGATACATGTAACAATCTGTACTTTGATTTCTTGTGTTGAAAATGTATGTAAATGCTAGAATTTCCCTCAAAATTCCTCTTCAAAATAATTGTGTTGATTCATTCACCAGTTCTAGAAGTACAGTACAGCTGTGCCAATGTTTATATAATTGTCCGTATGACATTACATTTTTCCTCGTGCATGTTCACTTATTATTCTATTTGATCTTGTACATTGATTAATTTCCTCCCATTTTAACACACACAGAGAACCTCCTCATTTGCATCCAAATTACATTTTTAATTAATTATATTAATCATTAATTGCCCTCCTCTATTACATTTTATAATTATATATCTTCCCCTTAAATACTTATTTTTCCTTCCCCTCCATTTCATGTCAATTGGTTCAGTTCTCCCATTACATGTCAATTAAATCCCACCTTCATGACATGATCCTTTCCATTACCCTCCCCCATTGCATGTATATTTCCATTACTACCCCATTACATATGTATTACCCCATTGTCAGACATTTGTCCATGCCAACCCCCCCCCCCCTTTCCCATTACATCAGAGATGCAAATACCAAGACAGTACTGTAATTTAGTTCAAAATCCAACTGGGAAAAATGCTTAGGAATCATAGGCAAGCTTTGACAAGTCACTGGCTTTCTGTCCCTGCAAGATAAATTCATTAACATTAATTATATTTTTACATAAAACTGAACTTAATTTCCTTAGGTGGCTGATGAAAAGCAGGTTTAAACTACTGTATTCCTATGACCCAAAACTAACAAACAATATTAAACTCACCAAATCAAATCTATTTTGTCCCTTTGAAGGCACTATTGGAGGTTCTTCTACCTCCTGTTCATCATCATCCTCCTCCTCCTCAGGACAGCTGTTGGGCAAGTCCAAATCTCCCCTTCCTCCTTGCAATTTTCTCAATGCTCTTGTGGACATTTTTGATAATGCTCCAAGATGTTCTCAAACTAAAAATTAGAATAAAAGTTAGTTACCAAGTGGATTCGACATTCACAGTAATGCACCTTAGTTGGTGCCCGACATTCACAGTGATGCACCCTAGTTGGTGCCCGACATTCACAGTGATGCGCTCTAGTTGGTGCCCGACATTCACAGTGATGCACCCTAGTTGGTGCCCGACATTCACAGTGATGCGCTCTAGTTGGTGCCCGACATTCACAGTGATACACCCTAGTTGGTGCCCGACATTCACAGTGATACACCCTAGTTGGTGCCCGACATTCACAGTGATGCACCCTAGTTGGTGCCCGACATTCACAGTGATGCACCCTAGTTGGTGCCCGACATTCACAGTGATGCGCTCTAGTTGGTGCCCGACATTCACAGTGATGCACCCTAGTTGGTGCCCGACATTCACAGTGATGCACCCAGTTGGTGCCCGACATTCACAGTGATGCACCCTAGTTGGTGCCCGACATTCACAGCGATGCACCCAGTTGGTGCCCGACATTCACAGTGATGCACCCTAGTTGGTGCCCGACATTCACAGCGATGCACCCAGTTGGTGCCCGACATTCACAGTGATGCACCCTAGTTGGTGCCCGACATTCACAGCGATGCACCCAGTTGGTGCCCGATATTCACAGCGATGCACCCAGTTGGTGCCTGACATTCACAGCGATGCACCCAGTTGGTGCCCGACATTCACAGCGATGCACCCAGTTGGTGCCCGACATTCACAGCGATGCACCCAGTTGGTGCCCGACATTCACAGCGATGCACCCAGTTGGTGCCCGACATTCACAGCGATGCACCCAGTTGGTGCCCGACATTCACAGCGATGCACCCAGTTGGTGCCCGACATTCACAGCGATGCACCCAGTTGGTGCCCGACATTCACAGTAATGCACCCTAGTTGGTGCCCGACATTCACAGCGATGCACCCAGTTGGTGCCCGACATTCACAGCGATGCACCCAGTTGGTGCCCGACATTCACAGCGATGCACCCAGTTGGTGCCCGACATTCACAGTGATGCACCCTAGTTGGTGCCCGACATTCACAGCGATTCACCCAGTTGGTGCCCGACATTCACAGTAATGCACCCAGTTGGTGCCCGACATTCACAGTGATGCACATTAGTTGGTGCCCGACATTCACAGCGATGCACCCTAGTTGGTGCCCGACATTCACAGCGATTCACCCAGTTGGTGCCCGACATTCACAGTAATGCACCCAGTTGGTGCCCGACATTCACAGTGATGCACCCTAGTTGGTGCCCGACATTCACACTAACAAAACCAACAAAAGGCGTAGTCCCCGTGGCACAGTGGTAAAACACGCGACTGACGCTTCGCGAGCGCTTTGGCCTGGGTTCGTATCCGGCCAGGGAGGACTGACTGGGTGCCAATCCTTAACTATTGCCTTAGGCCTGTTCACCCAGCAGTAAATGGGTACCTGGATGTTAAAATGATTTGGAGGGTCGTATTCCGGGGAAAATAAGGATTAAAAACCTGGCCAAAATGATATGCGTGCTAATGGCTTTACAAGAATGAAACATTCTTGTTACATTCCATTCTGACATTCACACCACCAGGACCCAGCTGATGGCTGACATTCACACCACCAGGACCCAGCTGATGGCTGACATTCACACCACCAGGACCCAGCTGGCAGCTGACATTCACACCACCAGGACCCAGCTGATGGCTGACATTCACACCACCAGGACCCAGCTGGCAGCTGACATTCACACCACCAGCACCCAGCTGACGGCTGACATTCACACCACCAGCACCCAGCTGGCAGCTGACATTCACACCACCAGGGCCCAGGTGACGGCTGACATTCACACCACCAGGGCCCAGCTGACGGCTGACATTCACACCACCAGCACCCAGCTGGCAGCTGACATTCACACCACCAGGGCCCAGGTGACGGCTGACATTCACACCACCAGGGCCCAGCTGACGGCTGACATTCACACCACCAGGGCCCAGCTGACGGCTGACATTCACACCGCCAGGACCCAGCTGACAGCTGACATTCACACCGCCAGGACCCAGCTGACGGCTGACATTCACACCGCCAGCACCCAGCTGACATTCACACCGCCAGCACCCAGCTGACGGCTGACATTCACACCACCAGCACCCAGCTCACGGCTGACATTCACACCACCAACACCCAGCTGACGGCTGACATTCACACCATCAGCACCCAGCTGACGGCTGACATTCACACCTCCAGCACCCAGCTGACGGCTGACATTCACACCAGGATAACACTACCGTACACTGGACCACAAAATAAGATGATGATGTGTACCCGAGAGACGTGTGTTCATCTACTCGCTCACACACACTGTCAGCCTCACGACGCTACAAGCACACAGTCTACGGTCACGGGGCGCTAGTGTGGCCTGCAGCGGTGGTAGAGTAGATATATAGAGCAGAGCAGAGGTAGAGGTGAGTAGAGAGAGAGAGCAGTGGAACTCACTCCTACACTCACTCCGCTGGTCAGCTGAGTCTCTCCGTATCTTAACCTACTTATCCAGCCTCACCTTAACAATTGCACATTTCCGTATTTGTTGTAGTAGTTTTTCTTGCCTTGTTAGCTATCTAATAGCTGCAGTACAAATTAATATTAGTATATGGATGCAGCTTTGTTTCGCTAGTTAAGGTAGACAAGTAGTTGAAGTCTGAGTCGCATCCTGCGACTCAGACCCGTGAAACGCTCCAATCAGAAGACAGTTGACGGACTAAACAATTGTGATTGGAAAATATTTACCTGAATTTACCTGAGGGCCACTAACACTCTAGTGGCCTCGATGAGGACAGGAAGCCGCTGGCTTGTCAAAGATCCCCAGATTTGTTCTGATGATGCTCCTGATATTTCCAATTTCTTCCAATTGTTCTTACTTATGCAATAAGAATAAATAAGTTTATTTTATGCAATTTTATAACATAAATATAACAAATAAATGATTGTTGGGCTGTACTAAAAGTCCAACTTAGTTAAATAAACTAAGTGAAAACTAAAAACTAACTAAATTATACAATAAACTAATTCAGGGCACATGGCGACATTTTTGACACGCCGCCGGCTTCCTGTCCTCATCGAGGCCACAGAAGTGTTAATGGCCCTCAGGTAATTAAACTGAATTGATTTATTGTAATTATATTATTATTTAGGAAGTTTTTTTTATTTTTTTATTTTTTATTTTTATAAAAGAATACACAATGTACAAAACCCGCCGCCGCCGAACAAGCAGTCTCCGTGGTGTAGTGGTAAGACACTCGCCTGGCGTTCCGCGAGCGCTATGTCATGGGTTCGTATCCTGGCCGGGGAGGATTTACTGGGCGCAATTCCTTAACTGTAGCCTCTGTTTAACGCAACAGTAAAATGTGTACTTGGATGAAAAAACGATTCTTCGCGGCAGGGGATCGTATTCCAGGGACCATAGGATTAAGGACCTGCCCGAAACGCTACGCGTACTAGTGGCTGTACAAGAATGTAACAACTCTTGTATATATCTCAAAAAAAAAAAAAAAAACAAGTTATGAACATACACAGGACAATATAACAAAGGAAGTAAACCACGGATACACTAAACATACTCAACAAAAACCAAGAAAGAAAACACATGACACAAGGCACAAAAAAAAAAGAGAACCCAGAAACGGGGACAGTATGTACCACAAAAAACAGAACATGTCATTAATAGCACACAATAGAAATAACATAAAACATAGGCACATCCACACAACCTTAAGTACAGAAATACAAAAGGAGAACGCACATACAAGCCCAGCCCAACAACCCAAACACAGGTGCATAAGAGTATAGAACAACAGGCCTCCGAAACCCCTAAGAGGCAAAATTACAAAACTACATTAAACAAAAAACATGGAAATACATACATTGAAAGTCAAACAGAAATAACTGAGTACATTTCTTTTTTCTTACTCCGTTTCCTCAAGCATAATTAAAAAGACATAATACAAAGGCAGAACACAAAACACAAATCAAGAAAGAACAGATAAATAATACATAAATAGCACAAGGCAAAGTACATGGCACATAAAAAGAGAAATAACAATCAGTAATGGCAAAAAAACACTCATAACACAGGAACAGTAGTACATGAAAAAGGGGGGGGGAGGACAAAACATAACCCGGGCACCCCAACCCCCCCACACAGAAAATCACAAAAGACAGAAGAGGCACGCTCCAAAGACAGAGGAGCATATAAGCATACATACCATAAAGAACAAAAATGCACAAAACATAAAACCCATACAAGGCAAACAAAAAGGCCCACGCAGGAGCCAGGGAAAACATAAAAACCACACCCACACACAAGCACACCCAAACGAAACACACACCCACAGGAGCAACCACAACAGAACAAAACAACCACACACACACACACACACACACACACACACACACACACACACACACACACCCCCGCCCAACCCCCGCCGAGGAGGCCCATCGGAGGACCGGGGACCGAAAACAAACCGGAACAAGACCCACCCAACCAACCCACAACCAACATCCACGAGCCCAACCCACGACCAATCACTCAAAAGCAGCCCCACGAACATACGCACCAGTAAACCAACCACAAAAATCATCCGGAAAAGCACGCTGCAGCCACCACCAGGTGAACCGTAAGCGCCCTCTCAAAAACCCCAAAACCCTCCCTCCGGCCAACCCACACACAATACACATAGTCAGCGACAAGAAGACAGAGCGTATTACGCACCCGTCGAGAGCCCCGCGGAAAAGACAAAAACAAAAACGGCAAAAAACCACCCCGACATCCCGGCCCACAAACCACGGCCAACACAGCACGAAACCAAGCAAGCAAACCACTCAGCCTCTCACAAAAATAGAAAACATGTAACTGAGTTTCAGGCAAACCACAGTGGACACATGCGTCAGAGGCACGCAAACCCAGCATGCACAACCGGTCATTTGTCGCCAACGACAAATGCAACATGCGAAACAACAACTCCCGCTGCTGCGGCGCCAAAAACCGCGCCCCTAACGCCGCCCACACCTCCCCCCAATCCCAACACGGGAATAAAGACTCCACCCGCGGCTGAACACGACAAAATAGAACCCCATAAATCGCCTTCACTGAGAGAGACATATAACCCGGACAACGACAGACAGCCCGAAGAATGTCTACCGCCCAGGAGTAAACAGGAGGGGTACAAAAGGCCACCTCCCGACAAACACCGCAATCCACCAAAAAACTAAACCGGACCGAACAATAAAAAATACACAAAGCATTGAGCCCCCCACCCAACGCTAAACCCTGACGCAACGAGACCCAGAACAGCGCCCGAGCCCTGGTAAACACATCAGGAATACCAACCCCACCTTCCCGCACCGCTAACACCAACGTCGAGCGACGAACCGGGTGGTAACGACCACACCACACGTACCTATAAACCTGACGTTCCAACCCCAGAGCCAGCCGGCGATCTAGGGGGAAACACCGAGCCACGTGACAGAACTTTACAAGTAACAAGCAACGCCCGCTGATAAATTGTTAACGGGCGCGCAGCCAACAACCCAACCGCAACACCAACACTACGAGAAACCGCACCCCAATTAAATTCCAAAGATCTCTCGTAAGAAGCGAACCAGGTGATCCCCAGAACTCGCAGAGAGGAGACCACCGGAAACCAAGACCCCTCCCACACAAGGCGAGAGGACCACCCACCGATACCCATAAGACCAGATTTGGCACGATTGACCTGGGCCCCAGTGGCCAACTCAAACCTCTCAACCACGACCTGGACAGCCCGAACAGAACCAGCAGAGGCCACGAACAGGATGGTATCATCCGCATAACCGCAGATGGGTAACCGAAGATCAGAAGGCAGCCGGGGGGGACGGATCAACGCACAAGCCTTGACCGCCCGAAAAAAAGGCTCCTGAAAGAGCACATAAAGGAGCATGGAAAGCGGACAACCCTGCCTCACCGAACGGCGGACAGGGAAAGGAGCACTCAAGAACCCATTGATGCAAACCCGACTGCAACACTGAGCGTACAACATACGCACCCAACGAACAAACAAAGGCGGAAAACCAAGCCTCTCTAACACACGAAAAACAAAAGCTAACGAAACACAGTCAAAAGCCTTAGACCAATCCAGGCAAAGCATCGCTGCAGACAAGCGAGAGCCCGACACGTACAGAAGCACATCCCGAAATAACGCATTGCACTGCAGTAACGAGCGACCTGGAACACCACAAAGCTGTTCCACGGAAACCACAGACGCAACCACACGGCGACACCGACCAGCTAAAATCTTGGACAGGATCTTATAGTCCACATTCAACAAAGTAATGGGTCTCCAGTTCGAGAAGAACCGCAAATCGCCCGGCTTCGGGAGCAGCCGCACAATCCCAACGCACTGAGATACAGGCAGAACGCACCCCCGGAGGCAAGTCCGGACCACCTCCAAAAGAACATCACCCAACACATCCCAAAAGGCAACATAAAACTCGACAGGAAGACCATCCGAGCCCGGCACCTTCCCGGAACGAAATGACCTCACCACACCGAAAAGCTCCCCCAACGAAACATCTTCCTCCAAACCAACACAATCAGCAGCAGACAACCCCGGAGCACAACCACCCAAAAAACCTTCCGCAATCGCGTCGTCCCCTACCACCTCCCCATAGAGCGCAACCAACTCTTGCCGCACATAATGCAACACACCACCGGTGTCCGAAACAACAGACCCATCCGGCCTTTGCAGAGCCGTAAAAAGAACACCGTCCCGCGCAGCCTTCACCTTCCCTAAAAGATAAGGAGAGAGCCGTTCCCCGTCAACACGTTCACTCACACGAGCACGCACACGAACACCCTCGGCCCACTCATTCCGCAAACCACAAATACGCTCCTTACACTCCGCAATCTCCCCAAAACAGTCAATCCCAGCATTGTACCGCACATACAACCGCGAAAGCCTCGCCTGGAACAACCGCAGCAACCCAAACCTTCCAGCAGCCTCACGTTTGGCAGCCACCCGAAAAAACAACCGACATTGCTCCTTACACCACTCCCACCAATCTAAAACAGAAGGAAAATCACACCGCCGGGCGAGAACCCCGACCCACCAAACCCGAAACTGCCCACAAACCCTCGGAGAACGCAACAACCCACAATTCAGCTTCCACCACCCCGCGCCGACCCGTACCTGACTGGGCACACCAACCCGGACCACCACGAGACTATGGTCCGAGAAAGCAACCGGGACAGTGTGGAAAGCAAACACAGAACACCCCCCGCCAGTAACATACACGCGATCAATCCGCGAACGCGCCCCATGCGCAGCAAAAGTAAAGGACAACTCGCCCCCATAGAGCACAGCAGCATCCTTGAAACCGCAAGAACGCACCACCTCCAGCAGCGCACCCGAGACATTCTGCGGGCGGGCGCTACTACAGTCCCGCGCA